ATCTTCAAAATTGCTATAATCAACTGGGTGACCAAATTAAATAAAAATATATATTATATTGGCCAAATTAAAGAAAGTTCAAACGGATAGTACAAAACATAATTTTAGAAAGAAGGTAGGAGGAAAATCTCTAAAATTTTACTGGCCAGATAATACTGATGAGGAGTCTGCCTGAGAGCCGTTTGATAAAAGTCGATGATTCAATCTGTACTAGAAGAGGGTAGTATGTTTTTAACAATAGAAATTAATCATAAGATATTAGTGCAAGTAAGATTCTTCGCGATCTCATAATAATTTTACTATGATTTATAAGCAAATAATACGGGTACTAAAAATTGTAATTTTAAGCAGTATTATGTTTGGAATTTTTAACACATTAATTTAAATCATCATAAATGTCAAATTCAGCTTCTTTTCTTTTGCAAAGGACAAAGTATTTCGCTATTGACTAATTTGAATCATTGAATGTAGTTTAGAAAGCCAGTTTTTAATAATTTACTACGAGTAAAGTAGGTAAACGTAAAGGTAGGTAAAGGTAAAAGTTTAAAATTCACAATAATAATAATTTTGAAATGTTTCATACCTATTAACATTCTGATATAAGGGTTTGTTGTTATGTCGATGTCTGATTTGTTTTGATTATGATAAAAAATAAATAAGACTTGTGTTATGTTCATTAGTTAAATTTATGCTACATTGATTAGTTTCAAACGCCGCATTCTAAAGTTATTGACTGATTTGAAAATGAAAGGTAGTTTAACTTTATACGCCTATTAGGAGTTTGATAAAAACTTATATTATTATTACGTTGGTATGTGATTTAATTTGTTCTAAGATTTATAATTTATAATTTAGATCTTTTAAACGCCACATAGGTCCTGAATAAATATTGGTATTTGAAAATATTTGTTGATTTGAATAATTGAAGGTTGGTTTAATTTTATTTTGACAAGTTTTTGGTACAATTGTTAGTGCTATGTTGATATTGATAGATATAACAATATAAACATAAAAAAAAATATTATATTTTGGATATTTCATTACCTTCCTACCTCTTTTTACCATCCGCAATATTTTCATTACCATCATGATAAGCCCATTACCATCACGCTCATTACCCGACTGCGCGACGCAAAAGAGGGTAATGTGTTTATCAGTCTATGTACCTATGTATGTATTTTATCATAAAGTTTAATATATAAATAAGTGCCTTTACGAAATGATAATCGATCACGGGTATTTTGTCCTGAATATAGGACAATTTTGTCGAATATTAACATTTTGTTCGTTCCGTGAGAATGTGCGTTTTTGGCCGAAATGGCGGAACGACTCATAAAAGAAGTCCGACATAAACGCAGAGTCCTCAAAGAACTATTCTAGCCAATTATCTCATTGCTAAAACATAAAAATGTGTAAGTATAAAATCAATTCAATTTAGTATTATGTTGGATATTACGAAAACTATATAACTGTTACACCACATGAAATAGCAGTAATTAATGATCACTAAATATCAGAATATAATTCTGACCCAGTCGGGTGTTTATTACTTATGAATTGCACCTTTGTGAAGTGAAAAGGAAGATCTTTAGTCATTATTAAAAAAGGCAGGTAATCGGAAACCATGAAATGTTAAATTTTTTACATGCTCTACGTAGAAATAAATTCAGTAAGACGTGGTTAATTAATTTGTACGAAACAGCAGTACAAACATTATTTGCATTTCGATATTGCGTGCCAAGGCACGCACGTTCGTGGGGTTGCTAGTGAAAATTAAACGGAGCCCTTTCTCGTAATTTTCCGTAACTCCTACAGATCTCAGGTTAAAACTGACCTACTGCCCTCGATCAACAAGAATAATAAATTGTTTTTTGTAGAATGTTTAAATGTAGAATTACGTTAACTTTCAGAATTGTTATAACATAACTAGTAAACAGTGCTCTACTATATACATACAACTATGCGGAAGTAAACAATCATCCAATACAAAGTCATACGAGATAAAAGTAATAAAAAGGCCAAAGAACCCACAGATTAATAGTCTGCCATAGAACGGTAGGAAATGTGTAAAAATATTTCTTAAATTAAAGACTAAATATCCGAATCAAATTTAATTACAGTTTGATTCTAAATAAAAGGATAAATTATTCTTAATACAAAATGCTTAAAAAAATCCACTTGGTCCCTGGCACCCTGAGATGGGAATCGAACCCACGAGCTTTCGCAATCAGGGCGACTGCTCTAACCGCTGAGCTACCCAGGACCTATCAGGACTGACGAATCTTTCAAGCACTTGTTACTTTTCGCTACTATAGAGCAACCTGGGTAGCTCAGTGGTTAGAGCAGTCGCCCTGATTGCGAAAGCTCGTGGGTTAAAAAATATCAATATCACTAAAAAGCATTAAATAAAAACTTAAAAATATAGAACAGAGTTTAAACTTTAAAAAAATTGTAATAATACTTATCTCAAAAGCTACATATTTATGAAAATGGCATTGAAGTGGGTCGTCTATCATTTAATTAATAACCTACAGAAGCCTTAGACCTCCACTCGCCCGACTTCAATTGTATTTTCTTGAATAAGTAGCTTTTGAGATATTATTTATATTTATGTTTAAACTTAGAAGTCGAAAAAAAAAGTGATACATAATACTTATCACAAAAGCGACTTATTCAAGAAAATGCTTTTGAAGTTTTCTGTAGATTATTAATAAAATGGCTTCTACTATGTTGAAGTTTTTGATTTAATACGCGAATGAACATACGTCAAGTGTGCAACGTAGGATGTTATGTCATAGCGACCAATGCAACGATAAGTGCGTGACGCACCTGTAATTCTAATCAAAATCGTTTATTTAATCTAGGCTGTTACAAGCACATATGAAAGGCGAAACTTTTCCGTCAGGTGTGTACCGACCCTTAGACAATTATTCTTTGTTGTTAATTGGTAGATAAGGAATTGACAGGTTAAGTCCACAGCCGTGTTTGGTTTGAAATAAATTACTTATAAAGCGCGTAATTTATGTGCAAAGTAGGGCGAGTATCGACCTACTTTTCCAGCACGATATTTATTTTCTGTATGTAAACTATCCAGATTTTGCACGTCACTGACAAAGCGTCGTTGAGTTGAGTAAAGAAGGGAAACAATCAAACTATTCATTTACCAATTGATCAAATGAAATTATAAAAAACCGGCCAAGAGCGAGACAAACTCATGCCCAGAGGGTTTTCATTTAATCTATAGTTTATAGAACTGTGGGCCAATTCTGCTAACGTTTACGTAATAATAGCGTGTCAATAGAATCTCAACTTTTCGCATTTTGCCCTTGTACTATCTACCTGAAGTCCAATATTATGCCTGTCTCAATCGATGTTTGAGGAAGACATTGCACTAATAATATAATAATAAATAGATAGTACATTGATAAAATTCAAGTCGTTGAGATTCTATCGAGATGCGATTATTACGTAAACATTAGCAGAATTGGCCTGCTATTATACTAGCTTTTGTTATACCTTTTTAATTATTTTAAATTCAGACTTGTCGGAGATGCAGTAATCGTTAAATTGAACCAAGTTCGAAATCGTAAAGGATTTATATTTGACAGATTAATGACCCAAAGTGGTGTCATTTCAATTTTATCGAAATTGAATCATTAGAAGTCTATCTAGTCTTTAATAAATAAACAAAATATTCTTTTCATCAATCATTACCTAAAAATTAAGAATGATATGCTTATATCAGCGAAAATTACGTATTTTGCATTTATTCAAAAATCCGAAAGTAGATTTTTTTGTATTCAACGGGTAATGTATATTTTTATCTAAGTAGGTATGTTCATCGATTTCTTGAACTGTGAATCAATTTCTATGTACCCATTACAACCTGCCGATGTGTTGCTTTATACCTACCTAGGTAATATTCTGATGTTGACTCTTACTTATTATGTATGCTGAGATCGCTAGTACCAAAATACATATCAAACACATCCATAATTATTTATTTAGTAATCGTGAAAACTTGTTTTCAAATACCATTGTCCGGATAACTTAACAAACTTTTTGTTTATCGGTAAGAAACTTAAACGAACATTTATTGCATAATTTTAAGCAAGTAAGTATATTTTTTGAGCTTACATTTTGAGCGAGGTCACGCAGCCACTTTTATTCATTTGATTAAGACCTAAACAGCTTGATGGTGGTCAGGGAGCCAAAGAATGTGGGTCACCGATTAATCGCGATAGTGCTAAGCGCGCGCTGCCATGATTATATGGAAATTAAACGCGATCGGACTGCCCTCGGACTTTCCCTTACCTACCTTATACACAAGTACTGGCAATTTTCACGCGTGCATTCAAAGTAATAAGAAAGTGCATAGTCAAACTAAACTGAAACTTTACGTAATTCGAAATAGTAAAGACATATTTCATGTGAGCCAGTATCACAGTGACCAAACCTATATAAACCTAAAGGCAGTAAACATGGTCTTCTATAATAAACCATTGCTTTTTAGTATACCTGATTCACTTCTATATGTTTTTGTTTAGGCACCATTTAAATGTTTCTAAGCAAATTATAAGTAGTTGTTTCAAAAATACAGACTCATTTTGCATGAAATTGTTTGAAATGCTGATATAAATGACATCTAAAATACAAATATTTTTTTAAATTAAAATAGATATCATAACTTTTGAGCGTTTATAATACATATTATATAATAATATAATACTACATATTATTTGTGAAAATATGAAAGAAGTACCTACTTGGTAAATTAATTTGCATCAATAGAGTCGTAGAAAATAACCTTTCGGATAAATAAACCAAATCGAAATTATGAAAACTTTAAGCTAAATTTTATATTATACCCAATTTAAGCAGAATATACATATACTGTGTTTAATGGTACATTCAAGTGATATTTGTGTTAATGACCACAGATTCATTATATTTCACCTTGTATACATACGGTCATGACCTTAAACTATAGATAACATTATAACAAGTATCTACGTAGTAGTAAATAGTAATTTTTAGATATAAAATGGTTTTACTATGATACGACTTCAACTTTAAGTAAATTTATGATTATACATACAAATACCCATAACCATCAAGTTTTAATCGCCAATTCAACAGAATTAATTAATATTTCAAGTCAACAGTATTTCAGGTTGCACATATCTGTAAAATTAATTCACTTGATTTTAAACCTTAATAGATTGTCAGTAGAGTTCAAATTCAATTCAGGAAATATATTATAGTAGCCTGACGTGTGTGTATGTATGGTAATTTTTAAATAATTTTAGAATTTGTGTACCGACATCTTTTGGGTATTGTTTATCCACGTCCTTCAACTGTGCCATATTGATTTATTCATCCGTAAATCGTTTAGAATCTTTACCTACTATTGATCACTCTGTTTCTGACGTCCGTCGCGTCGCCGTCGGTTCGATTTGTAGCCACTCGACACCGTCGTTATGCATATGGCGGTTATTAATAATATATCGATCTTGAAGTTTCCCTTCAGCTATTTTTAAGAGATTACCAAAACTCTATTAAATTAGAATTAAATATCAAATGAGAGACAATAAACTGAAAGCTCGAACTGTTTTATTTTGAGGCACATAAATAGTTTTTTCGCAATTATATTAAGTTTTGTTTTTCGATATTGGGGGTCAATCTTTGAAGTCAGTCTTTAAGTTTAACCCACATGTTCTGCTTATATTTAATGAAGTTATTAAACATAAAAAATTTGTCAAACTCGGAAGATAACTTTTTGTTATTAGTAGTAGCTACAAGGTAATATTAATAATGATTATCCTGAATTTTACTAATTGAATAAGTATAAAAAATCTAACTAGTTAAAACGTTGCTTTTTAATATATGACAAAAGATTATGAATTTAGATTACTAGTTATAATGTAAATTACAGGAATAAGTAAAAGAAACGATACTGAATAAATAAAAGTTAAAGATAATTATTATTTGAAATACACAACAGTTAGCTTACAATTAAATAGTTTATTGTTAAATTATGTTTGTTTCAATTTTTTACTGTGTTACAATGACAGTTTAAAGAAGTTTCATATAGAAAAAGAAGTACTATAGTTTGAGTACCTATACTTACATTATAGGTAATTAATAGGTTTAGATAAAAAAAATCAAAAAGCATTACTTACCAAAATTCAGCTTATTTATCAATTGTTTAATTAACATTAACTTTGTTCAAACACATTTAATATAATAATACAGATCGCAACTCTACGTACAACTTCTAGGTCTTATCCGAAAGATACCAAAATTACTCTACGTGATTATCAGGAGATTCATTTAATACAAAAATATATGAGTATATTTGTCGATTTAAAAACGTGCGGACACCTCGGAAACATATGAATTAATTGGTAAATAAAGGTTAGTATCAACTTGCTGACACATAGTTACCATGGTTACCAATGGGACGCTTTATCGGTTTCCAAAGAACTTTAGTGGTGCTATAACGCGAACGTTTTTAGTGCAAGTACATTTCATTAACTCATTGACCTGTTTATTACGCAACTTATAGTTCCCTGACTGATGTTAACTCTAAAAGTAATAAAGAATGGTCCAATGTAGGCCATAACTATATTTAATAAGTATATGCTAACTCACGTAAAATTTATCCTACCGATCTTTTTATGACATTAATTTGGCTATGGGAAAGAATTATCTACCTGCCGTGAAATTAATAACAAAACTAAACTGAGTTTAAATAAGCATCTACAATTAAAAACTACTACTAACTGATGATATAAGAAGTTGATGAAACCAACTTTTGACTTCTGAAGTCAGTTTTATTGAAAAAATCTCACGTCAATTTTATTAAGATTCTTTTATTTCATATGTCATCTCCGACCAGCTGTTTAAACCGCTTTAGGTTTTAGTACCAAAAAGGAAAAACTGGAACTAACGGACTAACTAACGGCTCCCAGTAAAAATATAATCTCTTGGTAATAACGAATATATCAAGTAGTTTTATATGATTTCTGTAATTTCCAGCACTCATATTTTATAGTCCCATAGTATTGCGTTCCCCACACCAAATAGAATCGATTAGCATAAATATTTTTACTATGTTAGCATATATTTGCGGATATATAGTTTGGAATATGACAGAATATAAAAATTATCTCAATTACTTAAATATTTAAGAACCATAAGTAAACATACTTTAGAATAATATTGACAAATAATAGTTTAATTTTGAATAAATAAAAAATATGTTATGATGGGGCTGACTTGTCCAAAAGGATAAAAAAACCTCTAAATCAATGACAAAATGTAAATATAGTCACAAAAATTATGTTTTGTTCGTTAGGGTTGGTAATGAAAAGGTATTTTTATATTTACGAAAATGTTTAAATTTTAATTTTGTCACACTTCCTATTGACACTGCTTTTAGAGCCAGGCTGGCAATTCCCCAGCCGATCAACAGTCGGTACCGGCTGACCCTCACCAAATCTTGACTCCAAATTGAGTTTGACACAATCGATTTCTAATGTCGTCGCATTTACGCCGACCGCTGCGACTATGGGATATAAATGAGCACAAGCTGATATCGAACCCAGCATTTCACATTTCCCATTGAATATAACGTAAGTATCAGCTCCGCAGGGGTTCTTCACGCAAATTGGAATGACAGAGTCTTTCGGCAGAATCAGGTATTCGTTGACTGCGCAGGGACCTCGTTGGAAAGCTGACCAACACGAGTCCGACTGTGGATGATAGAGGAATGCTGGAAAGAAATTAGAAATTATTTTACCAAACACATAAAATATAAATAGGTATACTACTCGTACGAATTAACATGACACCTGACGGCCTATTCTATTTATCCGAAAACTAAATTTCATCAATTTCGAAATGCTAACAGAACTCCAAAGAAACGCAATTTCCGATAATTTATAATGGAACGGAGGTAGGATCTCTGGAAAATGTAAGCATAAGGTAATAAAGTGATAGAGACCGCATAACTTGTACAAACAAAATAGTTTTAATAACATTATATAAAATGAAAGAAGCCATTTTAATTTCAGAGAGAATATAAATTGTATTATTCTAGTCAACAAATGTTCTTATTTTTTATTTTATTTTCTTTGGACAAATGACAGCTAAGTATTGCTAAGTACCTAACAATTACACAAATGTTCACTTCTGTGTAACTATTAACATCAAACAGACGACAGCTGACAATAATAGTGATAAATATTAAAAACAGAGTAGACAGATAATAGGGGTTAAAGTTTGATATTATCATTTATAGTAATAAATACTTTGAATTGACATTAAACCTTAATGGTGTGAGATTTCGATTAAAACTTTTTTCATGTGATATCTATGAGGTTCTTCTTTTAAGAAAGTATCAACCGAGTTCAATGCGAAAAAGAAAAGATTATATGTTATGCTGTGAACATAGGCTATATTTTATCCCGAAAAACGGCAAATAAAGGGATGAAAAGGAAGTGGAAGTTTGTATATAGAATTAAAACGTTACCATAGTAACCATTGTTTAGTATTCAATTTGTCATTATAATTACATCCGTGTCACGATATGAATCGATATCCAAATTAATCATTAAATTACTTAAGCTATTTACACAGAAGCAAACAATCTTACTAATACTTGTTTGTTACTTTTTCACGCAAAAACTACTGAACGGAATTTGGTTCACAGATAATTCTCAGCCTGGATTAACAAATACTCTACTAACCACGTGGGCGAAAAAGCTAGTTTCTATAAAAAATAACAAATTCGGGTGAGTTCTATAAAAAAAATTGATCTGCGACTGTCAAGTTTCAAATGTTTTATTTCATTCGGCTTAGACAAGTAAGTAAAGATAGTATGAACTTTCAAAATTCAAGTAATCTTTTTATACGAATTCCGTCGCGCAACTAACGTGCGTGAAACAGCTTGCACTATCAATGTTGGTGAGAAGACTACGATGGAAACTTCGATTTGAAACACGAACCACTTGGAAGGTATTTGATAACTTTAGGTAAAATCCGATAATAACAAAAATACTGATTATGATGTGACACTGTTTTTAATTCTACTTACCTGGTCTGCAATCACAGATCCAATCATCTTTCTGGTCACCAGGGTAATAAAGTTCGTTTGGAGGACACGTCGCTGGCATGAATACCGGTTGTCGGTTCTGAAATAGTTTAATATTTTTTAGAGTTGCAGACTACTGATCTAGTAGAATAATTTAATATTTCTTGTACATAGATAATGATATAAATAACAAAAAAATTGTGTTTTCAATAACTGATATCAAATTAAAAGTCTAATTGATAGGTAGATAGGTGATAGGTCCTGGTACATCAAACAGCACCTCAAACTATTGAAAAACGTATCTATACTCAATTTAAAGAAAGAGATAATACCAGTTGATATTTAAATTCAAAATTGATAACAGTTAGAAATGTGGATGTACTGTGTGTACGAGCTTATGATTGGCTTTAATATGTTTATTTTTCATAAATAATTTTCCAAACATATAAATCAAAAACATTTTCATTATATTGTATGATTATTGTGATTTTATTATGGTTTTTGTATCACCAATAATGGAATATGAACTAGATATCAGTAAATTCAAAATTAATTAGTACACAATTTTATAAAAAACTAAGTAAGGACATAATAATTATATTTTTATAAAATACGCGGATCTCGATTTACTATACCTGTTGCGCATAGTAACAGCAATCCAATGCACACATTATTATCTTGTATTCTTTTACAAATACAATATAAATTATATACATAAAAAAATCCATAAAGCTTGTTTAGTTCAGTTTTATTTTTTATATATTTCTAGATATTTTATTGGTATTAACAATATTTATTTAATAAGGGAAAAACCAAAACTTACATCTTTATTTTTTAAGTTGTTATTTTCCTCAATCTCTGGAAACCCGATTGAATTCTTTGAAACATTATTATCTGTCAAAATCTCGCCAATCATTACCATCACATTCAAAACACTCATTAAGTATTTCATTTTAATCAGTTTATTTGCCTACATAAATTAATATTTTAAAGATATAACACTTTTACAATACACCCAAGACTCGAAAATATAGTTAATTTGTTGATGACTAGGAAATTATTAACACATTAACTACGACTGTATAAATAGAGATCTTGAGACAAACTACTGGGCCTCCTCTTCGATTAAGCATAAAATGACTGTGGTTGGACGTCATCTATACAATCAAAACAAGTTTTGATAAAAAAACCTTAGTGTGGGTAAACTGTGCGTTTTTCCTATAACACATTAAAAATTTGTCTTGAGAGCATTCAACTTAGAGACTGGAAATATTATATATAAACTTCTTCTAATTATTAAGATGACGATTGTTCAAATAAATCAATAACAAAGAAAAACCCAAAAGTTAATTCGAACTAGTTTCAATTTCGAATTTGTAGAATTTCATTTAAGATATTCTATTATGTAAATTTTATAGTTTCTGAGATACCGTAACTAATAAGATATTAATCAGTTATGGACAAGGGCGAGTTCACTCGCCTATCGAGGGTTCAATACTGTTGGTTTCAAATATTTCTGGAAGCTAAAGATTCCAAAACCTATTTCGTAAACGTAATGGATATGGATATTGTCTTTACTATTAGTTAACTTGAATTTACTTACGTACTTGGTGAGCTTTACGATTTAATTAAGAGTGATAAAATTTAATTAAGAGTTTTACGATTTAATTAAGAGTGATAAGATTTTATTAAGAGTGATAAAAAATAAAAATGATATCTCACTACTATTAGCTACAATTTTGAATTTCGACCCCTATTAGACTATATTTTTAAAGATTTCATTACAAATGAATAGTTTTCAGATTTTCTTTTTTACTATTAATCGATATAAGCCAAATTTTTTGCCAAAGTTTTGGGTCAACGGAAATTACCCTATCAAGTTTGATTCCGTTGACAGTGTCAAGTTAACCGTTTTTTGCCAAACATTTTTTGTGGCAAATCCAACCGTTTTGCGTTAATTAATATGATTTGTATTTTAACAGCTGACTATAGATAAGTATAATAATGTTTATTGTGAAATGCAGGATATTAGGTGAAAGATATCGAAAAAAGTTTTTTTTTTATTGATTTTAAATCGCTTTGTAAGATAATATCTAATTTTAAATACCTAAAAATATGTAAGATAAAATAAATTGGTCAAACCAAAATTTCCGGAAAAAATTTACAAAGATGATATGTAGGTATAAACTAATCTTGAGCTTCGTAACAGGAATCACTATCGCATAGATAATTTTGGATACGGGCAAAATTCTACGCCCATGATAATTCATCATAGTGTAGGTATATATTCAACACATTTGCGTCACACACCATTATGGCGCAGTAGTTAGTTTGCTCGGTCTGCGATACGATTCTTAAGCAACTTTCGCAAGGGCCGATCATAGGATGGGTGGCCAAAAAATTACTATAACGAGCTCCTTCGTGCTTTGGAATACACGATAAGCCGTTAGTCCCAGCTGCATCTGAAGTCGTTAACACCCAGCAATCTGCACTGGGCCCGCGTGATGGGTCACGGCCCCAATGGGCCGTACCGTATTGTACCTATTCCATTTGATTCGATTCCATCCATAAAGAAGGCCAGAACCCCAGCAGTGGATAAGCGCCGCGGCCTGCGATCGTAGTCGTTAAGCAACTTTCGCAAGGGTCGGTCACGAGATGGGTGACCAAAAAATTATTATCTCGAGCTACTCCGTGCTTCGGAAAGCACGTTAAGCCGTTGGTCCCGGCTGCATTTGCAGTCGTTAATACCCTCCAATCCGCATTGGGCCAGCGTGGAGGGTCATGGCCCATCCTCCTTAACCATCCATAAGGAAGGCCTGAGCCCCTGCAGTGGGGACGTAAAAGGGCTGGTGGTGGTGAAATTTTAAAATTATAACACACACAAAATATTATATGTCTTTTCATCATTCACAAAATAAGAAATTATGTAAAACTACAAAACGTTAATAAATTAAAACATACTTCAAAACTGTCTACTTCTTCTTAGCTATAAAACAGTCGTATCCTATGACGTGATATCATAATCACATACTGACTTACAGACAACGCACAGCGTCAACCACAGGTCTTGAAATTTGGAGGGGACATTCCCTTATTACATGGAGGTGTACTAAGAATGGATTTTTGTTAATTCCGCCCCAAAGGGGTCGAAAAGGGTGAAAACGTTTGTATGAAACTATCGTTTTTCGACCTATATCAATGAAAATTGGTATTTGGGTAGTTTATGACCCCAGGAAGGTAATAGGTTATATTTTATCCCGAAAACTAGCACTTATAGGAATAAAAATGGGAGTAAAAGATTTAATGGAGAATCAAAATGTTACCATAGCAACCATTGTTTACAATCTGATTTATCATTGTAATAAAATTACCTAATATTATTTACAAAATATTTTATTGTATAGCGATGAAAATTGGTATTTGAGTGAATATTGAATTTTTGAAATTTTAATGGATAAAAAAGTTCTAATTCAAGTAATTTTGTTTACGAATTAAAAATTATTTTTATATTTTATATATATATTATGAACTACTAGATGGCGTCAAATGAATTCTAAATCGCAGATTTTTTTGGCTAGAAAACTTACCTAGAATATTTTTTCAGCCAGCTAATGACGAGTATATTCTAAATCGTGCTATTATTTTGATCAAAGGATTTTGTGCAGTCTTTAAATCAAAAACATAATAATGTTGCTCCAAGTTTAGATTAAAGAAATTGCAATTATTTGTGTTTTTTGTTTCATCAGTAATTACTTTATTGAAGATTTATAGGTCCTAACCTAAGATTTACCTCACATCATGATGTGGCATCTGACCAGGCCTGAATGATTTGCGTTTAACGATATGGGCGGCTGATAGTATGACTTCTTCATGATGTGGGCAAGAGTAAGTGATCATATCGTAAAATAGTTACGTGTCTCAGTCTGATGTCAGCTGATGACACATTGTTTTGTAATACATGTATTTTAATTTTTAGGTTATACAACAAATTAAATAAAGTAGGGTGACTAAGCAACGGAAAACGATTACTTGATTAAGTTCAGTGAGATAAATGTAGGAGTACCGTGCGAAGGTGCAGCAGCAAAGGCTTTTTTTTTATAGTTTTATGGATACGCACGTTGAGAATGACAATGTCACTAACCATAAGCGACGTATTTACTTTTGGCAACATATTTATTTGTAAAGTATAAAATTTAAAATGCAAATATCCCTGTGAGCGTAGTTTGCATAGAAACTGCTAGGTAGTGCAGTGACGATACGTTGTTTAGAGAGACGGATTACAATGTACTTGAAACGCTCATTACTGAAAATCGCATTTTTTGCATTGAGTCACTATCGTTCTCAGCGTACAAATGTCGCAAGATATGATAAAGACAGCATTGTGACCTACCTACACACTCTGATAAAAATATACTAGATTAATCCCGGCTTTATGTGCCTTCCGAAGCACGAAGTAGCTTGAGATATTCATTTTTGGTCACCCATCTCGTGGCTGACCTTTAGGAAAGTTGCTTAACTAAAACGACCGCTGGCCGCGGCGCTTATCTACTACACGACTAAGTTACTCAGAAAATGAAATATTTTCGATTGGAATCTAAATGTGGATTTATTTATTTTAAAAATCACGTTAATGTTTTATTCTATAACTCCAGAGACAATTTTTCCATTCAAGAATGTTTAGAAAGCACATAGTGTAAAGTGCTACCGATATAGATGATATTTTGCCGTACAGTTAACAGCACATCAGGCTATACAAAACTGTCAAATTTCTCCATTTTATTTTAATCTTAAAGTATTGATACTAGAGTAGTGAGTATTGAAATAAAATGTAGTAAGAAATTTAAGCTTTGCTATACTAGATGGCGTTTATGCTAAAGTGATCTGCTCTAACGTTTCTATCAAAGGTAATTTCATCATCAACAGCGTTTTTGGAAAATATATGCTGCCCAAAGTAATTATACCACGCGGACGAAGTCGCGGGCAAAAGCTAATAGGTTATATTTTATCCCAAACTAGCACTTAAAGGGATGAAAATGGGAATCAAAGTTTTTATGGGGAAACAAAATGTTACCATAGCTACCATTGCTTACAATTTGATTAGTCATTGCAATAAATCCATACTATTTATCTATACTAACATTAAAAATGCCAAAGTAACTCTGTCTGTCTGTTACTTAATCACGCCTAATCCACTGAACCAATTTGCATGAAATTTGGTATGGAGATATTTTAATACCCAAGAAAGGACATAGGCTACTTTTTACCGCGGGAAAATGACGCGTTCCCACGGGAAAATAATCTAAATATATATAACTCAAAGGTGACTGACTGACATAGTGATCTATCAACGCACAGCCCAAACCACTGGACGGATCGGGCTGAAATTTGGCATACAGGTAGATGTTATGACGTAGGCATCCGCCAAGAAAGGATTTTGATCAATTCTATCCCCAAGGGGATAAAATAGGGGATGAAATTCTGTATGAAACGTTGTCAATTTTAAACCGATCGGGTTGAGATTTTGTATAAATAAGGCTACTATGACGTAGGCAAGTAACATCTCTTTTCTAGCGTATTGCGTAGATTTCAGTTAAATATAAATTTAAAAAGTTAAATTTTGTATAAACTTCACATTTGTGTTTTTCTTTCCATCTGTATTTCAAATAAGATTAATAGGTTAACGGTTTTAGGAGATAAAGTATCGAAACCTAAAACATTTTGAAAATTAGTCAGATTTTGGACAATAGTAATTTAATTACTTGTGTAATTGTGTAGCTGGTGCTTTGCCTTATATAAATATATTGCTTTTTGTTGTAGTATCTTCAAAGTTGAACTCGAAGTAATTTTATTCTAAAATCCAGGGTCTTTTTCTATTAATAAAATTAATAATTGTGTTTCTCGTGATCCTTAACAATTAACTAGTTTTCTGGGCTTTGTACAGCCGCACTATAGAAGAACGTTGTGATCGACATTTTGCCGTGCAAATGCTCTTCTATTATAAGGCTAGCCGCCTACTTGGATGGATGTTTTATCCAATTGGCTACGAAATATTTATTATACCTATATTAACCTCAATGTTGTTTTTATTAGATCACCAAAATCTACTCAATTAAAACTCAAAAAAGAAACAGCTGTGAGTCATCCAAGCAATTGTGAATTTATTGTTCTTAGTCTATATTTTGTCTGGTTTTTATGTGATATAATGAGCGACAAAGAGAATCGTTTAATTATTCCATACTAATATTATTTAGCGAAAGTAAATCTATGTAAAATATTTTACTTGAGATAGGTGCTTTTTATTGTGGTAAAAAGGTTGAAATAGGGAATTAAAGTTTGTATGGAAGTTCGTCTTTGTCAAAGATAAAATCATGAAACTTCATATTCGAGTATAAATAATATTTGTTTTATCGTTTTAAGAAATGCTGTTCAAAGTAATTATATCACGCGGATGAAGTCGCGGGCAAAAGCTAATTATTTGAATAAATCTGTAATCAACGATAAGAAAACACAATTACTATTCGCTACGAGGTCACCAGGGAGGCTTTGTTACCCCATCAAAGCTTCAATGTCACAATATACAAATACCAATAGGTAACATGTAAATAAACGAATGCTATAGGGCATTTGCACTGCTAAAAACGCTTTCAAGGTCACAATCTAAATCATGTAATGGGAGAATGCAGGTAGTCAGTACCAAGTATATAGTCAAAGGTAAGTACTTATCAGACTGGAAAATTAAGGGAAGTTCGATAATGTCTATAGTTATTATTTAGGCATTACTTACACTAATACGTGGTGTTCGTCACACGAAAAAAGTACTTCGGATCACAACTTTTACGCTTTTATTGCAAACGAATAAGAGTTATGAGCAAAAAAACTAGTTTATAAATGCTCAATAAAGTGGAAACGACAGTTGTAATTTTTATTTTATACTATATATTTTATTCACTAATGTACAAAGGCGGACTTAATACTTTAGACATCCTCTGCCAGTCAACTTTTAGGTGATGTGGAAACTAAGAATAAGTAGAATTTACTTTTCAGAATCCAAATTAGTGAGTCGTTCTTTTATCTTTTGGGAAACTACAACAAACTAGTAAGGAGATACTGGAAACTACTTAGTGATACGAAACTTTAAAGTGATGAGCCAAATGATTTCGATCAATGTACCATTTGGAACTCGATCATCTCGAACAAAGCAACGACCCGATGAGTGACGGGACAAACGAAGAACAGAACGATGTAATACGAATGATTCGAAACAGTACAAAATGTTTCCTTTGGAACTCGATCATCACGAATGCAGCGACGAGCAGACCGACAGATGGAGACGAACTAAGTATTAAATGTTTCATTTGGAATTCGATCATCTCAAATGCAGCAACAACCAGACCGCCAGGTGACAGAGGCGAGCTCAGTATCAAATGTTCCATTTGGAACTCAATCACCTTAAACGAAGCGACGCCGTCGATGTTTTGTGCTGTTTAAGTTAGTTAGGCTTATTACTTTATTATATATATATATTTCGCCCTGTTCTCGTTGCTCTGGTGTTCTGTGAATTATTTTTCATAGAATTATACGTAGTTTGATATTGGTGTTGAACCAGAAACAAATCTCAAACAAATACAACGTCTAATATTTATACCTATGTCATTATATAATATTGATTTTAAAAATATTTATATTAAACGTCCGTAAAACAATTTGGCAAATAAATATTCATTCACTGTTGATTAAACACTTGCCACCGCTCTTAGCAGACAGCAAATGGTTCATTGAGTGGTGGTTGAACTATCTAAGAATCGATGATCCAAATGATGCATTAATTGATTCAAATCTTTGATTTGAATTCTTTTGAATACGTATTTCTTAGTACTTATCCAAACCAATTTTCATTCGACACGGTAAAAAAGTAACGCAAGTCTGCACGGAGCTACCAACCAATGAAGAAGTATTAAAAAAAAAATTAGTTCCCGAAATCAAACTAGATGTCGCTACGGTACTTTCTTGATTTCTCCATGACCACCTTTCCGGTTTTCTTTCATCTATATAAGAAAATTAGTTTTCAAAACTCAATAAACAACTCATATTCTCTTTGTACCTTTTCGTATTTTCATTGATATCTAAGTTTCGAACTTTACAAATTTCAGCTTTTTACTGAAATTTGCAAAGTTGATCATGACAAACCATTTGATCTATTTATATTTGCAGTGTCTTATTCATAGAGGAATAATATACTTATAGGTTGGGGTATGATATCGCGATTAAAAATGTGTACTATCTGATTTCTAAACGAAAATTTAAAAAAAATGGACTGTTTACGTCAACTTGAAATCTTTGTATAATCGAAATGTCAAAATGGGAGTGAAAACTGAGGAAAACAATGTGAAAATTTATTTTTTGTAACAAGAAAATGCCAAAAATGTGCGATTTGATCATTTAATATCGTCACCGAAATGTTTACCAAGAAATCCCATCAAGATGTTAAAAAATCTACCGTTAAAATTCAAGATTCTAAAAAGGATTCTGCGACACGACTAAAGCACCTAAAAATCGTGTTAGGTAAGCTGTTTTCATATTATATTAGAATCTGATTAATTATAACTTCATTTAACTGCTGTTTTCAAATACAGTCTGCTATTATTTAAGATACTGACGGTATGTTCTGCAGAACATGCTAATTAGTTGAGAATAACTGTAATCGAGTCTAAATGACACGGTAATAAAGTACTTTACAGAGGAATCATTTATTGTATCGTTGGATGGTTATTTAGATCTTAAAACATATTTAAATATCTAACTGATACTGAATTTAGCACTATTATGTTATAATTACAGAACATTTTGATGCTGAGGAAGCAAAAACATATTTTGAAAACAACTTTAGTCATGTCTACTTTATATTATATGACAATTTCATTCAAGCAGAAAACAATCTACGCCAAAGAGGTATTTGACTTTTTTATTTACTAGTAATTATTGTGTCAAATAATATCTATGATTTGGTCATATAATTATTGCAACTCTTTAACACAAAGAAATATGTGAATATACTCATTCTCTGATAAGTCAGTATATATGTCTATGTGGGGCAATATATTTTAAAACTTTTTATACTATATTTTTAATCTCTATTGTTAAGTTGTTTAAATACATATATAAGAAGTTGATATTTAGAAATGAGCACTATTAGTTTTATTTGATTTTTGTGATGTAATCAATAGATTTCACTTTATTAAAATGTCTAATTTTGTTGTACAGAACTTCCGTTTCATCTTGGTGAGTTATATGGGTTGTTCTATCTCTCAAAAACCATATATTCAAGCATTACATTCATACATTGTTATGTGATGCTGCTATCTTATCATAGATTACCTGCTTATCCATTAGCATGAGACATATTTATCACACATAGTCGACCACATAACTTAGTCATGCATTTCCACAAATATTTTTTTATTACTTCACTTACTTTCTAAAAATATGTTCTGTGGAATTTTATTAAAAAAATACATCGTCATACTTAATGATTTCAAATTATTTAAAATAATACATCGACTTATCTGCTTAGTATATGTAATACCATTTCATTAATAGAATTTAGGCTTAAAACTGCACTGACAAAACTAATGACAATAATTCAGTTCATTTCAGGCCATCATCAACAACTAAATTTTAGGTCTAACAATAGTTTTAAACTAAGTCAAACTATTATTTAACAATTAGCTAATGATTAAAATATAGTCTGGTACATTTTGAATGCTCCAGTATGTTATATAAATGACATTAATTTAAACCATTTGAAACTGTTGTTAGTCATCCCTTTTTAACTTATGGTTTGCTTTATTAATCCATATTTATACTAACTGAAGTTATATATATATATTATAAAACATAATCTCAAATTTTGTAGTACACAAAGCTGGCAGAGAGGAACTAGAGGGAGCATTATGCTTACTAGAAAAAGTATTATGTCTCCTGCCAGAGTTAATAGGCAAGAGATGGCAACTGCATTCACTAACAAGAATATTTTCAAAGCTCCTCCATAGTTGGAATTCACAAAGACTTAGAGCAGAAGCTATAAGGTATGATTACTTAATAAATTACTTATTGAGAATTTCTTTATGTTACTTTTGCATTAATATCAAATATTGTTCTCAGGTATTTTCTGTTATGGTATCAAGCTCTAGGAGATAATGCCCCAACAGAGGTGCATAAGATGTTTGCTTCATTAATCCCTGGGTTACCAGAACCTTTCATCCAACCAACTGGCACACCTCTCAAAAATAAACCTTTTGAAATTGGCTCAAATGTGTCACATGAATCAGGTGACTTTAGCATCAATGATATTATGCAGCATCCTAACTTCACAACAGCCACAGACAATGCTAAGAAAGTTGTAGTAGAACAAACCCCTACAGGAATCATAGGGAAGTTGGCTAATGTGTCTGCTTCAATATTTCATGATACAAATGCTTTAAACCCAGTACAGACAGTTGAAATTCAACCATTACTACCAGCAAGTGCCAATGAAAGACCAGTTGATAATGAAACAAAATATTTCTTTGAAATTTTACTTGATGGCATGGCTACATCAGTAACAAAAATACATTGGAAAGATCGCTCACACACAAAATCAATGAGATGTTTTGCTTTTTTATTGGAAAAGTTCAAATTGTACTATTTACCAATAATATGTCCACAATTTAATCACAAAAACTCTCTTTATAAACCTAATTTGGGTAAGTAACCATTAAACATATTCTAATCAGTCATAAAAGTGTGTCCTGTTTTAGAGATGTTAATGAAAAATTATTCTTAGGTATTATCCTTACCCCTTCTTTTCATTACCAAAATTTGTGTAAAAGAAATATGCATTTTCTATTCCTTGATATTTTGAAGCATAGTGTGTACTTAACTCTTTTGTTGTTTTACAGAAGTGCCTGTTCAACATAACATATTAGAAGATGACTTTGTTTTATGTCGTGTTATACTTATAAAGTGGGTTGCTAGTTTTGCTCACTTCATGAAGAAGCAGGGCAGTGACGGCGGGCAGCCATCTTCTATGACCAGCACAGGATCACATATACACTCAGGCACGCCTACGCCGGCCGCGTCGCTACACCATGAAGAAGAAACCTCCTTTACGGTTGGGCACCCATCAGATTCAAGTCGTGCTTCGTCTCACGACTCTGCATCTAACACTCCACATCCTAGTTTGGAATCAGGTTATTAAAGTTCATTTAAATTTAAAAACATATGTATTTGTTGATTTTCCTGAAATTGAAAAAAAAGATAAACTTTGCTCAGGTTCTGTGATGTATGAGGAGCTGAGTGCAGAACTTGTGGTACGTGATGTACTGTGCTGTTCATCACGGGAACATGTGGACTTTACTATTGAAGTACTGAGACAGGCTTTCCTATTACCTTTCTCACATGCTGCTGCAGTACGACGTGTCATCGCATTATATAAAGATTGGATCCAAATGAATGTGAGTTTATACATATCACTATATGTACAAAACATATATTTCTGTCATTATTGCTCATATCATAAAACTGCAGTTGAAACATGATATTTCTAAAAGATAAATATTAGACACGCTAAAGTACTTGTACTATTGAAATCCAAAATAACAAATGTACCATAATTTTTCATAGAGACTAGTCAACATACATTGACCCTATGAGGAATCGAACCAGGACCTCAAAGAGGGCAACACCTTGACACCCATGTGCACACTACACATCCATGGAAGTTGTCAGATGATATGATTATGTTTTTTAACAATTGTGTCATAGATCCTTTGTATGTAGGATTGCTTAAGTTAAAATAGAAAGGAAAACATTACAACCTCGCATAAAGCCAGATCTAAACTTTAATTTTCTTTATATTTAGGTGGCAGAAATTCCGCCATTCCTGATGGAGAGTGCCTTTGAGCAGCCAGGTGGAGAGCCGCTGGCGCCGCCGCGACGTCTGCGTAACGATTCCTACCTTGGCGCAGTCGGCAGAGATAACCTAATGGTCCGTGCAGGGCTACAGGTAATAAAAATCTAACATACCATATTCATTACTCAGATCTATAATTTTCTAAAAAGGTTCTTTATAATAAAATCGGAATTGATGAAATTATCATTGTTCCAGGACTGTAAACGCTTAAATTTGTTATAAGATTGTAAAATGTATTGAATTTCTTCATTAGATTCACTCATTTTCATAGTAAGAAAAACAAATGAAATTCACACATTTTCCTAATTTGAATTCTCAGTTATCTTCTTTAAAATTTAAACTTTTTAATGATATCAAAACTAGCCAGATACAAATGGTATAGTCAGAAAGCTTTTATTACAAGTTTATTGCATACTATATGCGAAAAGACTTTTTCCCAACCTTAAATATTGTCTCGGGTGTTCTTCGGGTGACATCTTCATTGTTTCGGAATTACATAATACAAGTGCTAAAAGCTACCTAATTTACAAATCTGAGCAATGTATGGGATATTAAAATAATTTATTTATATTTTTTTTAGAATGTGCTTCAAGTGTTCATGACTCAAGCGGCGAACGTTTTCCTCGCATCGCCTTCACCTGTAGCGCCTCCTGGAGCACTCAGTCAGCAACAATTGCTTGATGAACAAACTGACACGTGCAAACGGGTACTCAATATATACAGATATATGGTCATGCATGTAGCTATGGATGCTGCATCGTGGTAAGTAACTTCAAAAAGAAAGTATTTTTCATCTACAGCCTCCAATCGAGACATGTGTTAAACGATTTCAGTAACTAATTCGGCGTTAATACTTGTTTGTTATATAAAAGATTGTTATCAAATAATTTGATTAAATAACGTTCTGATAACCATATAATAAATATGGTTGTAAATGACATCCATTAACTTGTGATTTATTGCACAGGGAACAACTGCTTTTGGTGCTACTTCAAATAACGTCTTTGGTACTAACAAAAGTGCCACCCAAACGGAAACAAGAATCATTGGGTCTGTATATTAATTGATTATCAATCCATTGATTTGTTTTTATTCAACTGAAGCGAAGGAAAATATATTCTTATGGACAATTTTTTTTATTGGAAAGATAAAAAATTTAATTGAAAGTTCATTTTAGGTGGATTTCTAGCATCGGCTTTATTCCAAACTTTGATAGTTACATGGATAAAGGCAAATTTAAACGTCGCAGTGAAACCAGAGTTGTGGCAAAATTTTATGGAACTACTTTCGCGACTGACGCACTGGGAAGATCTTATCAAAGAATGGGCGGTAAGAATTTATACGTCACATTCCATAATTAAACTCTAATTGCTTGAGAAAAATATAACGAGAAATCAAAGCGAAATAGGGAAGTCAAATAATGAAACAGATGAATAACGTATTGCGGGAAACAAAATACATCTAAAAAGAGTTATAAAATACTTAGATCTTAAACCTTATTACAATTATTGTAACTACATTCAATCACAGATAATATAATATAAAATTCATTAGTAAGTGTCACGTATTTAAAGATTTATATGCTTTCTCAACATGTAGAAAACAATGGAGACACTGACCCGAGTGCTAGCCCGACACGTCTATTCCCTGGACCTGTCTGAAACGAATGTCGCTACAGAAGGGAGGGGGCGTGGCCGCCGCACTACCCCCGCTCCCGTGCCCGCTCCCCACCCGCGTCCTCCTCTTCACCAAGTTACTGGACCGACAGTCTCTGATGCGCGAACGCCAGGTACGTACGACGTAGATATATTTTATGTAGAATATGATAGTAGGGGAAACATGCCTGCCTGAAAATGTAAGAGTCTGTAAGTTAGAAAATAAAAAAAAAAGATCGCATTTCTCGGGTATCAAAATCTATATTATGTGTGAAATCTATATTATCCCTTTAAGTTATGCCTTTATACAGGGAAATCTCCAAAAGTCGGTCACGAGTCACAAGTTCGTAAAGATGCTGGAGGTTCACGCCGACAGATGGCGCGGTGTCGCAGCGACCCGCACCTCGCCAAAGAGACGCGAATAGGTAAGATACCCGCATCATTGGCATAAAAATATGTATAGAATTACAATGGCTGTATTACTCTAAATACTCTTATTGTTTTTAAATAGTTATTGAATTATTTATTTTCCTAACAGAAGAAACCAAAGAACCTGTTGTAAGCAACAAACCCAGAAGGTGGTACTCGTTAGATTCATTACGAAATTCCACCCAACAAGAAGAACGAGATTCTGCCAGTGGTGAGAGATAATGCGTATTTTTATTACGTTTCTATAAATTTCATATTTGAAAGATACCTTTTTTAACATTATTATCTATGAATTGAATTTATAAAGGATCCCGTTCTCCATCGCCGGCACCGTCAAGTGGTGTTGAAAGTAGTTCTATTAAGGACTCTCCACTGCAAATTGATTTGGCTTCTGATGGTGGAAATGTTGGTATGTATTGAGTTCATACTTCAACCGGAAATTATTTAAGTATTTCAAAACTTACTTAAAAATAATCATTGGGTTAAAATATACTTATTAAATCGCATTTGTTTTTAAATTCTATTACTTTTATCTTATTAAATTTAAAAAAGTAATCTGTGTAATATGAATCATTCAAATTAACAGTGTTCGTTAATGATCATTAAATTGATTAAAATCAAACCAAATTTGGTATATTTGAAGTAATATTATTATTTGCGCTAAAATTTCTTTAAAAATACTTTCTTGGAAATGTTTGAAAATGTCCTCTCGAAAATATATTCAAACGGAATCTGATATGGTATAATTGGCTGCTTGTCGGTTATATGTAACAATAAATTATGAAATATGTTGGAAATTGTAACTTATATATAAACAATAACTTGCGAACTGCAACTTGAGTGGCCATGACGGAACAACATATGCAGTCACATTTCAATAAAAAAACGTCAACGTCTTTGTTGCGAGTGCAACCAGTGCTCATCTATTATTAAGTAATAATTTGTGATGTCACGAGACTGAATGTTTTATATGATTGTATGAAAGCATTAAAATACCTATCCCAGAACAGTCAAGTAGTCAATTACAACTTATTTAGACGATTTTACAAAACTCTCGCCCTCGTCGTATATCGCTCTCTTAAGTAACTTGCTTATTAAAATTGTAATAATTGATCCCGTATTCAAAACATTAGAATGGTCGGAGAGCGAATCAGGGATGGGTGGGTTGGGAGTGGGGGAGGGTGGGCGTGGGGCTGGGTCAGCAGGCGTCGGCGTAGTACTGGGCGGCACAGCGCGAGGGTGGTTGCCAGACGTAGCGGCTGTATTATGGCGCCGCATGTTGGCTGCCCTCGGTGATCCGAATCACTTACGGGAACCACATGCGCACGCGCACCTATACAACTACCTCATACATCTGAACGCCACCCTACTCAAGGCAAGTGTTATTAATTATTTTATACATATCTACCTATCCTAATATTATGGAAAGGAAAAAATTATTTGTTTATTTGCATTGAATAAGCTTCCATATTACAGGACGTATTTTAAAAATTCTTTTACCTATGTGGGAAGCTTCATCATATGGACTATTGACGTCTTGCTAATTTGATACATGCGAATGTTTGTATGTTGTGTTTGTCTTTCACGCAAAAACTACTGAACCGATTTTGACAAAAATGCTATAAGTACGGTATTTCTAAGCATGAATTAACGTATAGGCTATTTCTTATTTCACTAATGGATAAATTTACTGTCATGTTAACCTGTAAACAACGCGGGCGAAGACACTGGCGGAATGCTACTATGTACATACACGAGCGAAGGTGGGGGTTAGCAGCTAGTCACTAATAATGTTAGTTAAGTGAGAATTTAAAAAATATCGAGTTGTGTATACGCATTCTTATAGTAACAGCGGGTGCCGTCGGGCGTTACTAATAAAATCTTTTGTCTTAAAAATTAATTCACCACAACAATAGAACTACACTTTTTATTTCGAAGGAAGTTAATAACTGTCTTTTACTCTTCTTATGATTTCAACACTTTTATACAACTGAAGTCAATAATAGAATTCACTCAACCACTTTAATTTACACACAATAAAACTCAATACAAAACATTACGAATATGAACGTATTTAAAATTTGTGTGATTAAAAAAATGACTCCATCGCTATCTATCCGCCTATACGTAATGAAATCTCATCCAATCGATAGGTGGGCATCTGTTAATTTTTATCTCAAATATGGCACGCTGAAGTAACTTATCACACACTATCTTGGGATAGTATTTGTGTGCTCATATATTTCACAATAATTCACAGTTCAATCATCTGTCCGGTTATGTGCGTTGTTATTATAAAAGGGCGGTATTGTTTTGTTTATTTTGTTATTTATTTTCTCGTGTTGGAAGCAAAACACTCTATATTGCATTAAGTAAGAACAGTCAGTGCTGGTTACATATTTTTATGGTGTTATCGCGCCTTTGCGAGCTGCTTTCCAACGCCAAAGTATTTAAAGATTGCTCATGCGAAAGAAGAGCAGGAAAAAGGAGACTCTTGAGGAGACTCCGAAAGGTAATTTACGAATACAGATAAATAACTTGTAAGACATATTTCTGACTATAAATATTATTTTATACCAATTTTACAAAGCATTGGTTAACTTATAGATATCTTAAAAAAAAACATTTAAACTTAATTTTCAAACTTCAATTGACTCAAAAATAACTTTAATAAATTAAAACTCAAAAGAAACCTAAAATATTGAAATATTATTTACTAATAAATTATTTTGTGGTTTCAAATAAAAACAAAATATCATTCAATTTTACAACAACAAAACGGATAAAAACAAGTGGGTAATTGAAAAAATTATTTTTATATGAATGCTAATTTTACGAATTTGTTATGTGATTCTTATACTTTGTTTTATAATAATGTCCTATCAAATGTTACATAAGTTATTTGATTTTGATTTTAAAATATGGCGAAGTGAGTCAGACTTATGTAAATGTGGAAAGGTGAGTAAAGTGTGTGAATTATAGAATATTTATGAAAACTATGTGTTTACTATAGAATATTCACGAAATAAACAAAACGAAACTTGATATTGTGCAAAAAAACCTATTGATGATAACAAACTATGTCAGTGCTACTTATAAACAAGGTTTAACGTCAGTGTAAATATACGCTAAAATTGCAATTTTAATATTAGTTCATATTCATATGACACAGAGAATAAACAAATCTACCTTCTAGGAGCAAATTTTACTCCCGTAGAACCTCGTACTAGGTTAACCTTTGTTAAGTCTGTTTAATAATATGAATTTTGACTAATACGAAGAGCAGTCTCAGCGTAAATTTACTCCAAACCTAAAACCTAAACCTTGTTTATAAGTAGCACTGTGTATGTTTAAATTACTGTTTAATTATATATGGATAGCAATCAGTGCATAGTTTGTAACCTTAAAATATAAGTTGAAAAACGTGAACTGACCCTTTGTTGTATGTTATAAAGAACAAGCTTTTCCGTTAACAGATAAGCGCAAACCAAACTCTAAATGGCAACACAGAGAACCATGTACCGTTCAATTTGTTCGCGGGCTGGTGTTTGGAAGCCGAGGCGTTGCCACCCTCACACAGGTTTGTACATATTTGCCATTTTCTCTCTTGATGTATGCCATCCAACGCTGAAAATTTTATCTTATATTCTGATATATACGAAATTGAATGATTCTTAATGAAAAATGCTTAAAAATCCACTTTGTTGCTGGCACTCTGAGATGGGACTCGAACCCACGACCTTTTGCATTCCGGGCGACTGCTCTTACCACTGAGCTTCCCAAGACCTAAAGTCAGTCGAATTTTTCAAGCATTTTTTTTTTTTTTAGCATTGTGAACGCAAAATTGATCAAATGTAATAAATTGAAAGATTTCAACTATGAATGTAATAAATTTTCAATAGTATTAAAAAAAAATACTATCATGTCGAAATATTATTAAATGACTGTACATTTTGCTTTATTACAATATATTGCTGTAATAAAATTAATTAGACACGCTGTAATAAAATTAGTTAGACATATATACCTTAATATCCAATTATCAAGTATTGTATGCCTGAATATCTGTTCTATCGCTTTGTGTAACATTAAATATACTTCAATAAGATTGGTATAAGTGAAACGAGTAAAAGTTATAGAATTATATTCGTGTACATTTTCTCTAGGGCCGGCAAGTTGCTCGCTCTGCGCTTACTTTGCGAGTCGACTCAGGCGCAAGGTCCGGGTGCTCCGTCGTCGTGCAACAATCGCTTGCACCTTGCGCATCTAAATTTATACCAGCGCGCATTGCACCATGGTATGTTGTTTTTAACTCTCATGTTTTTATAGAATTATGATAACTTTCGTCGATACTTTTAGCACTGATATTTTTTTATTTTTACTTTATTACCGAATTATTCCAATAATTACATGTTTTGGATGTATGTTGATTTGATTCATGCTTATTATATTACAGATATCGTTAGGGACCAAAAGGGTTTACTTCCACATCTAATTTTGTAGTAATTGACCAAACCAAACTATGAAAAACTTGATAAAAATCAATGTTATTGAAGTTGATTTCTTTTTTAAACTACTTTATATTAACAAACATAATATTTTATGAAAATAATTAATTAATTATTTGTTTCGGCTGTTTGGGTTGATTGCCTGAACATTGATGAAAATACGCTCTGAAGTAGCGAAAAAGTAACAAATGCTTGAAAAATCGTCAGTCTTGATAGGTCTTGGGTAGCTTATTGATAAGAGCAGTCGCCCCGGAGTGCGAAAGGTCGTCGGGTCGAATCCCATCTCAGAGAATCAGGAACAAAGTGGATTTTTGAAGTATTTTTCATTAAGAATATTTTCCAGTATATCATTGTGAATCCAAAATTCATCAAATATAATAATGTAATGTAGAAGATACACGCAATAAACGTTTAACTTTGACATACATCCAGTTCACAATTATTGGTAAAATTACAAGCTTAATTAAACTCTAGGTCACAATAATTACTGCCATCACGTTTTATTTAGTAGCATAATTATGAGCCCTATGTGTGTTTTATAAACAAACATTTCCTTTAAACGGTTAGTAACGGCATTCGCATAGATTGCTACAGGTCGATTTTTTTTTCTTTTTATTTAATAAATAAATTATAATAGTGTTTGCTTGGAAAGACTATAACTTTAATTAGATACTTAGACAACTATTTCAGATTCACATACCTGTGAATATAGTCTACAATATGGTCATCCAATAGTTTCAAACTTGTTTAATTTATTTTACACTTTAATTAATGATTTTTTGTGTCTAGATAGTTCTTATTTTTACTTTTTTACAGGTTTAACGGGGGAAGATCGATCGGTTGTGGATGTACTCGTGGAGTACGCAGCGCCACGTTACTTATCACTAGCCCTCGATGGATATTCCCTCCTATTACTCGACTTTGTGCACGCCTCCACAGTCGTACTCAATTCATCCGACATGGGCGCTTCGGTGAGAATATAAAAAGCTTTTACCTTCAGCTCAAACATTTATAAGAACAGATGTTCAATAGATTCTTTAAAATTGGGAACTGTCGTTTAGTTATAAGGTTTAAATTACAGTGTCCTCGAACTGCGGCTGTGACGTTTTTGGGCTCGCTTCTCTCTCTCCCAGACGAGCTTATGAACGCTCCTATGCTACAGCCTTACCCACACCAATACAACACCGTATCCTGTCCTGATTTAAAGGTGAGAATAGGAAATAGCAAATGGCTACTTGACATTTATCACAATAAATTATATAATATATTGGAGACGGTAATAAGTATGCAAACAATAACTATGTACCTATTATTTTCTGTTTTGGAATATATTAAAAAGTTTTTTTTTTTCAACTTGATTCGCGATTTACAATCTATGGACTACGAAAATCAAACGTGTTGTCATGTTTTTATTACACTTTGCGATAATTTATATTATTTTAAGCAATACACTGAAATTCCAATATCGGCATGACAGTGACTTTATTTTTTTTTAAGTCAAAGTTGTCTTATTTCTTAGGTCAAGAAAATCAGAAAAAAATTGATTATTAATTTAAAATTTGAATATAAACCAACATTACGCTAATATTAACATACAATCGGGCAATTTTTGAAATCCCTTTCCCGGAACATGCAATAGCCAATAATACGTATATATTTGTACGACGTTAACACAATTTTTAGGAGCACGTGCTCAACATAGTAGTGCGCGTTTGCCGTCGTGAAGGCGCGGCGGCGGCGAGATGTGCGGGCGCGTGCGCTCTGACCGCGCACGTTTGCCACGTGCTGGCCGCGCGCGTGCCCTGCACGCGACTACCGTCGTACGTCACATGCCTGTTACAGATGCTCATGGCAAGTATAATACCATACATGTTCATGTTAAGTTTACTGTGTTATCTGTTGAACTTATAATTTGCTTCTCATAAAATTGGTTATAAGAAAATGTGTAAATAAATATTCCAGAACTTCGTGAGATGGATGAGAGTATACTGACCAACTTTTACTATAGTAGCAACACTGAATTTACGAAAAAATAATCAGCGGTTTCATACAAAATTGTAATACCTACAATCGCTAACAGTATGATACAGCTGTTTATTTTTCGTGAATTCAGTGCTGTTGCCATAATAAAGGTTGGTCAGAGTACTTGAATCATTCATTCCACGAAGTCCTGGTACATAATAATATTACACCTTCGATACTAGCGAGCGACGCAGCGTGGACCAATTTAGAGTTAAGTGAAGTAACATCGAGTAGCCTTGTGGCGTAGTGGATAAGCGATCGTTGTTGTTAAGCAACTTTTGCGAGGGTCGGTCACGAGATGAGTCATCAAAATTTTTTTTTTAGCTACACCGTGCTTTGGAACGCCTGCTTAGCCGTTAGTCCCGGCTGCATTTGCAAGTTGTATCACCTCCAATCCGCATTGGGTCAGCGTGGAGGGTCATGGAACATCTTCCTTAACTATCCATAAGATAGGCTTGTGCCCCTGCAATTTCATCAGCAAAGTTCTTTTCTTTCAGTGCCCGCTCACAAAATACATCAAACAAACTAATTCTACCGAGTTTTTACATTTACTAACTCATCATATTCGTTTTCTGACTATTTATCGTTTTCCATCAGTAGTAATCTAACGGTAACGGTCTTTGATACTAGTTAAGTGGACCAAAAATATTCGCCAAGCTCCTTTTTTTGTGCGCTCAGACGACGCAAAACTTATTCCGACCACGATGGGCTCGTGCTGCTACTTGCTTACTAAGCAGGAAAGTTTTTATCTCATCCAAACGAGTCCTTAGTGCGAGGCCGTAGTCAAGGTTCCATTTCTTTCACGCCTAACTACGCCACTGTCATTTTGTAATAAATAAATTATCTGCTATAGCCATCGTAATTATAGTTTTATTAACCACATTTTTTTTTACAGATGAAAAATAAAACTATCGCCAAAGTAGTAAGCGATTGTGTGTTAGTTCTCGCTGATTACACAGATCGAATCGTAGAATTATATCCGGGTCTTGCTGGTGAGTAATAAAATTGTAATATCTTTATTACTTGTATTTCAAATATCTTAAGTGAGACCAAATTAAACATTAACAGGTAAAATCATAAAATGGATATGCGCATGCCTGGCTCAACTCTCAACTAGCAGCTCTAGAGATTCCGTACGCCCCCTAGCGGGGTCTCTGCTTTTCTGTCTCGCGGAATTTGCCGTCCGCTGCGGACCAGCCCGTCTAATGGATGAAAAAGAAGGCGATCAGTCGCTGCTACTCATCATATTCAGAGTAAGTGGAATTGCAATATTGATACGAGAAAATTTATTGTATAAATGCATTTTCTCGTATCAATATTTCAGCTATCGCATTGTGTACTGATGTAATGACGTACCTAATTAACGTTGTTATTATAAATACTTGAATTTTATTAGTCATTGATACTTGTGGACGACTAATTCTTGCGTAGATAGTCAGTAGCAAACTCTACTTAGATTTATAGAAAATATTTAATTGTTTCTATTTTTTTTCTTATTGTCTTACTTCTCAATCTTATATTTGAAAAGGGTTCAATTATTTATTACACAATCATGATAAACTTATAAGTTAAGTAGTCTGTTATAGACAGATATTTCTAGAACTACATAATTAAAAACCTCCCTGAATGTTTTACCTTTGAAATATCAAACCACGCGTTATTAACATTTCTCATTCATATATGAAATGAATATATGTATGCAGTACAAAGCCACCTTTTTAACTAGCATTTGAATTTGTGAATAACAATTTCTTAAAAGAAAGTAATTGCAACTTGAATGTTTATTTATATTCGTATCTTTAAGAACAACGATTCTATTAGAAAACTGTCTTCTTTCATCATAATGAAAACAATTCCAAAGATATATAACAAATAATAATGTCAATGTTTGTAAAACATAGTAGCAGTGACAATGAATTAATACAAAAAACGAAATAGTGAAAGTTCGTCTTCTGAAGCGGTAAGTAAACAAACTTATAAGTGTTAAAGTTTGCATACTTTCAATCCAGGCAGAGTTATAAATGAAAATCAGATATAAAATATTTTCTTTTTTAATTAAATTCATATAAAAAAAATATAAAACTCTCATTCACACTAAGAACATAATTACCAATAATGCATAAAATTAAAACCGTAACAACATAAGCTTCATAAATGATTGTGTAGTAAAACCTACACGCTCAATAAATACAATATGAATCGTGACATTTGAGCGCAAAAAACAGTTGGACATCTTTGAGAGTGCAACCCAAACGCGTTTCGTATACAAACGACGTCAAGCGTAACTCAATAACCATACTTAAGTACTTAGTTTTTGGTTACGCAAGATCTATAGTCGTATTAATGGTGTTTATTGTTGTCCGGGATGCTCAACGTGCTCCTGAGGCTGGAAGCCATGCTCGTCGGCGGTGTATGTGATGGTATAGACTAAGCCATCAGGGGCCAGGTACTTGTAGCTTCCTTGGACCTCGATAGCCTTGTGGTCTTCGCTGATCTGCTTCAGCGTGCCTTGTTCCTGACGGGACGTACCATCACTGGTTTCGAACCTGTCGAACGAAATAGTTTTATAGTAAACATTTACATAATGAATTATCAACCCTTTCTGTATTTATTTGTTCATCATCCAAACCGTAGATCAAATACATTGCTGAGATTACAAATAAACAATAGTCAATTGTCTACATTGAGTTTACCGGGAATTGAACCCTCAGAGATAGTGACCAAAGTGTAAACCGCGAACGGCCTCTGAGGTTTCTAAACTTCATCATTGATTTGATAATAAATAAATCCTATGTCTTTAATATTTATGAATTATCGAGTCCAGATGAAGCAGAAGCAAACCAAGTTACTCTAAAAATCAAATATCCGTAATGGATTCTAAATTTCCAGGTTCTAGTTTCCAGGGCAATATGGTTAAAATCGGAATGTATAATCAAAACTAATTAAATACAGTACGCGAATTGATAGCCGTCGGGATTGACGTCTACATCTTGCTTGAGAATGTAGACTGGGTCTTGCTGTTGCGGAGGAGCAGCAAAAGCTACGGCAGCCATTAAAGCACAGAGCACCTGAAAACGAAAAAAAAATGCTTATAACAATACGATTCAAATATAAAAATGTATCTTAAAAAAAATATTATAAAAAAACTGTAGGACTTACGAATTTATGCATTTTGATGTAGTGTGGGGTTTTGTTCTCAAATGAGATATCAACTGAAGACAGTTGTTGAATGTGCAGAAGTCGGTGCGCGGCTCCATTATAAATGGAAAACAGTAATTGATGACAAAACTAAAGTCTGGTGCGATGCGCCCAACAACTGGGTGCTAATTAAAAGAGAGGCGCGTGTCCTAGAAATGTGAATTTTAGCACTGCGTTGCATAAGTGATAAGACTTTTTACTGGAGATGGATATCACCTTGACGGCCTTTCGTACGCGTGTGTTAAATCTGAAAATTATCATGTTCAAAATAATTTTATTTTATTTTAGTCACAATCATTTCACAACAGTATTTTCTTAAAAAATTAGTTTTATAAATATGAAATGGTATCCAAAATAAAAAATGTGAACTAACAAATATAAGCATTTTTCAATATTTCAGAGATTTTAAACATTTTCTAAAAGGTTCTTATTATTATTTTATTACTGACGATTCAAGTAAATTAGTAAGGGATCCGGTTACACGATGAAAACCGTTTTACAATGCCTTTGGCCTCCTTCTAGGTGTTATACGCTGTAATGAAAGGAACGAATGGATCTGAAATAGAGGGACTATCTCTGCCTGTCGATGAAGACTTCGATCCGAATATACAATTAGACAATTTGGGACTGAAGTCGTCGCCCGTTTCTACAATCGACGTGAAATTGTGGGCGCAAACGGTAAATTTTTTATTTCTTTTATTTATCCTAATCTCGGCCTCTGAATATGAAGAATTCTACTTAATTATACTATCTTTGCTTAGAATTTTTTGATATTAAACAACATCACAGACGTTAAAGCGTTCTCGGTAAATTTTAAGCTGCTCTTGTTCGTACGAATTTTAACCAAGTTACTTAAGTGGAGTATTTGCTGAATTGTAGATATTGTATTTGTACAAGTACATTACCGAATAAAATCGCTAATTCTGTTTACATAGCACATCACCAACCTATTAACGTCCCCGCTGCTGGGGCTCAGTCCTTCCCCATGGATGGAATCGATTTAAATCGAATAGGGATAATAGGTCGTGATCCACCATGAGGACCCGGTGTGCATTGGTGGGTTTTAACGGCTGCAGATGCAGCCGGAACCAACGGCTTAACTTGCCTTCCGGAGCACGGAGAAGCTCGAGATGATCAATTTTTGCTCCAATCCATCTTATACCGGCCCTTGCGAAAGTTGCTTAACAATCCGGAGCGCTAACCGCTGCGCACTCAAGCTCCTACATAGCACTCTATACATTTTGATAGAAAAACAATGTGTATTCAGATATGCACACAACTGGTTCTATTCCTCGGCCACTGGCCGCTGTGGAGCGGATGTCAGCTATCGTCGAGCGTGTGTGAGCAGCACGACAGCCCATCGCTGGGCGGCGAGCTGGGCCCCGCTGTATTGGCGGCGCCACACCTACAGCTGATGAGACTTAGCGACGCCACGCTAGCGTCCTTCGTAGAGCTTCCCGCTCTAGATATGCCGCCCGGTGCCGCCGCCACCACGCCAGGTGATAACCACTCATCCAACTAAATCAAAGTAATATTTGACCGCTGATCACAAATTGATAACATGTCAAAAAATAAAGAAAATTCATAAAATCACATACATTGCTCAGATTCCAAGATGTGTAAAACTCCTGTATTATGGAGTGTCTGATACAGTGAAGGTAACACTACAGATTCGACCCGAGAAAAGTTTTCTACATTGACCCGACCGGTAATCGGACCCGGGACCGCAGAAATAGCGACGCCGGCGTGCGAATCACTTTGCTATAGAGGTTTTCAAATTATCTAGTTTAATTTAAAAACATAGCTAAGAACACTCTCGATTAAGTCACCTTTCTAACAAAAAAAGAATTATCCATATCAGTTCATCCGTTTGGGAGCTATAATGCCAAAGACACAATGACACACACACTTGACTTATAATTTTTATTTTCTTTTACTAGAATATTTATATTATAGTAATAATTAAAATAATAAGATTATTCTTTGTAGGGCTTTCAACATCAGACCGACAAGTACGCGTCCTACTTCGTGATATCGCGGGCAAAGCTTGCTGGGATGCGTCCGCACTCTACTATGACCCTTCATCATCTGCAGAAGAGCCACTTGAACCGTTGCCTTTACCAGACAGGTAATCTGATATGTCATTTTTAGATCTTCTGTAAATTGAAGTAACCATAAAATATCAACTTTACATAATGGAGCGCTTACACATCGTCCGTAATTAACTCCGGTATTAAGGCAAGTCAATGCTGGCTTAATGTAAATTGAGCCGTAGAGGCATCACCATAACCGCTGACTCATGGCCACGACTCCGTGTAAACAATCCTTAACTATAACAGTATTACGGTTTAAAATAAATTGCAATATAACGTTTCAAATATTAACCTAAGGCTCTTATCTTTAATTGTATGTTTAAAATAAGGAAAGTTTTCATAGTTAAATATATTTAAATTATTGTCGTAGCGATGACATTCCAAGAGAGAACACGCTATCTTCACTGCCACCACCGTTGCCCCCGGATCTACTACCAGATTACAAGAATTCGCCGCCTGACAAACATCAATTAGATCACGTAAGCATTTCGTTTATTTTTCTTATTAACCATATATAAAGATAAGCAAATAGAATTATTTCGTAATCACATGTAATACAAGAAATCTAATTATACTCCTTTATACTGTAATATAATAACTTTTTCTATTATATTTGTTACTTTCTATTATATAATAAACGTTATTGTAACGAGTCGTAGGTCGTAAATGTAAATAATAGATCAAGCGTGTTATTTCATTTATTGAATTGAAATACAATAGTTTTCTAAATGGTCTCCATTATTTATTCTACAACTCAATATATTTATGCAAAAAAAATTAACTATGTATTTTTAAGTCAAAAGTTCATTAAATAAAATATTCAATTAGGTATTAGCTTACATCGGTCACACTTCGCCTGAAGTAGTAGGAGGGAGAAGGTTAGACGGCGCGGGCGCATCTCCATTGCCGGCTGGCACTGAAGACGAACTCGTAGCTACACTCGTCTCGCACAGAAATGCCGAACGCGCTTACCTCGCCAACAAAGACAGGTATGTTGTTTTAAAATTCTATGGTAATTAACATTATTAAATATCGAGAAATGGTGTAATATAAGATTCATGGTAGCAATCCCGTTTTAACGATCATTGTTAAGACAGGTATATTGTCATCAATAAATAAAATCAGCTCTCACCTTTTTTATTAAAATGTATTAAAGTTATGCATTTTTGTCTCCGATTAGATAGCACATAAAATTCATGCGTTTTAATTGTAATAGAAATTATAACTTTGTCTATGTCTAGGTACTAAATATGATAACTTTTTAATTGGTGTACCAATTTTATAATAGGATGTCGTTCTAAAAAAAAACAATAAATACAAAAAAATATATATTTTATTATTAACTAGCCGTTTCACCGCGACTTCTCCCTTAAATAATAGCTTATACTACCCATCTACGATGTAGCTTCCTGTAGGTGAAACAATTTTATTAATGGAATGAGTATTTCTGAAGATTACCCTCTACAAAGAAAGTTAACATGTATACTAATAAAGATCGGCTATTACCTCTGTGTACAGTAGAGTGATCATAAGCTACGATGTTTCAATATAAAACATGACTATGCCTAACAAAACAAAAGCAATATTTTTCAATGTGTGCATGGTTCCTTTTTTTCTGTATAATCAGAGGTTTCGAAAAGGTTAATATAGTTAGTAAGTTAATATAATTTCTTCTTGTGCGTCACTATTTCACTTTCCGTTGAATACTGCAGTGATGACGAAGCGGAGCCAGGTGATTGGTGTGGTCCAGTATCACCGGGTCCGTTCTCTCAGTGTCGACTGCTACTGGCGCAGCTCGGAGCATTGGCGCCCGCTCGACGCGCTCACATACAATTGCTACGGCGCTCCGACCGCTTGCTACGAGAACTACGAAACTTAGACGCACAGAGGTCAGTATATTTCTCAACATATAATCCCCGCAAAATTGCTAATGCACCTGGGTGCCATTTTACTGACGTAATTGCCTTAAAAAATCAGTACCGTTAACAAAAAAACACCGGTTGACGAATACTCTAACAATTTTTGATTTTTTCGAATGTTATTGTTAAGTTTTGTTGTTACTTGTTATGGTTGACTAAAATAGCAACTGCTATTATGATTTTCATAACGAGTAAACCTAAATTCACTAAAAATAAATATATCTAATGTCTTATTTCATTATTACTTTTTGCTTTGTTTAAAAAGATGTCTTTTCCGTTTGTTTTCGCGTTATTACAAAGTAAACGACATTTTTTATATCTTTTTTACTTTCCATTTACCTCCATATGAACATATAATTCCACCTTTTCATTAAATTAATGCAATTAACTAACGGTCAGTTGCACAAACGTCCATTAAAATTCAATGACGCCTTTAATAAATGCCAAATTTGAACATTAATTAAAAATTCATAGTTCATTAATTGGTAGATCTGCTCTGCGCAACGCAAACGGAAGATTCTCCATACGCCATATTAGTGGCATTTTACCGTTTATTTATCATGCCTACATTTCAATCGAGAGTCAGAATATAAATACACAAAGTGAGTTTCAAATTGATTAGGTACTTACAAATATATACTTTTAGATGTCGTGAGACGCACAAAGTCGCTGTAATATACGTTGCAAAAGGTCAAGAGAACAGAAACGAAATATTGTCTAATCGATGTGGAAGCCCCGCCTACGAATCATTCCTCGCGGCACTAGCATGGGAGGTAAGTGAGAAATTAGTAATAGTTATGTTGATTGGATAAATTCATTAATTGATATGCTTATTACTACGTGAGTCGAAACGACTTAAACCATTAAAATTTGAACTTTATGCCATATTTCTTACAGTGCTATTACCAACTTTAACATTTAAACGCTCTGACCATTTCGTCCTTGTTTGTTGTTCATTAAGGAAATCAATAGTGTACCACACACACCAGCCCTTTTACGTCCCCACTGCAGGGGCTCAGGCCTTCCTTATGGATGGTTAAGGAGGATGGGCCATGACCCTCCACGCTGGCCCAATGCGGATTGGAGGGTATTAACGACTGCAAATCCAGCCGGGACCAACGGCTTAACGTGCCTTCCGAAGCACGGAGTAGCTCGAGATAATAATTTTTTGGTCACCCATCCCGTGACCGACCCTTGCGAAAGTTGCTTAACGACTACGATCGCGGGCCGCGGCGCTTTACTAATATATATTTTTACTATAAACTACGTAGGTGGAACTGGAGAGTCACGTTGGTTTCGCTGGCGGTCTCCGCGGTGGGGGCGGTGGTGGTGTGAGCGCGCCTTATATAGCAACACTCACGTTAGAGGCGTTATTCCACGTGGCAACACGCATGCCCGCCGACTCAGCAGACGCTATACTCAACAAGGTAATTGAGAAATAAAACTTGTGGGGCTAATTAGCTAATATTAAAATTTATCGATAACCCTTTTAAACATATAACGATATGTAGTATTATGTAACTTTTAAATTCTTAATCGCTTTCAGAACGAAGATTTGAATATTTAAAGTAATATTTGTGACTTATACTTGCCTTAGACAATTCCGTTTAACTTCAAATTAACGATATTTTGCATTCAGTATGTTCAAAAAAACATTACGATCACAATCGCTATTATATGTCAAATAGTTGTAACGTGAGGGTTGTGAATATCTTTCAAATGTCAAATTGAAATTAATTGCGATAGATTTTAAAATTAGACAAATAGGTCTCTGTTCTACGTCACAGTCGGCGACTACGCGTACCATGTACTGGCAGCCGTCAATGATTAGAATTGTGAGTGCTTTTAAACCCTTATATAATCTAGAGCTCAATAGGTATAATGACTGCGTAAAAAAAAATCTATTTAATATGTCAGTCAGATAATAAAAAAATATTAGATACATATAAAAATAGGTGTTTAATATTTTTCAACAATCTACCTGACATATTATGATTGCCTGGCGTGCGGTCGTATATACATATGAGTAGGACATGCTGTTAGATGGTTTAAAAAAGGGTGTCGGTATTCTATAATGTAAATAAATTCTTCAGCTAAAATTTGCTTGATTTTAAAATGAATGAAAACAATTTCAGACCCGTCATTTAGGTAACGATGAGGTACACGTGGTGTGGAGCGAACACTGGCGGCCGTACAAACGGGACACGTTGCCTACGCAGTTCTGCGACGTGCTCATCGTACTGTACCCGTTACCGGGCGGACTGATACGTTGCACCGTCTCGAGGAAACCTGACGTGAGTTGTTAATTTACTCAAGTAACATGATAATAGTTGTAGTTATAAAATTTGAAAAAAGTCGTAGTAGTTGTCACACTATTTGTAAATTAATTGACTTATTATCTATATATATATATACTAGACAAACTGACTAAACAATAGGAGTGTGAGCTAAGTTTTTTCAATGTGATAATATCGAGAAAAAATGAAAATTTACAACAATTCACTTAAAATCTTGATTGAAAGAGGTTAGAAAATCCAATTTCAAAAATTATTTTGCACGTTTTGTTATTATTATTCATATTTATTATACATTTTTTTAGTTAATTTTAGGGACCTTTCAATTTCTTATCCGAAGCCCCTATGATTGGAAAGCATAAAGATATCAAAATAATATAATGGAGCATTAGTAAAACAGAGTCAAAATTGTTAGTACTGTATGTAACAGTACTAAAAGGACAGCTAAGCCGATGCTTTTCTTATTCGGCTCACATAGTAAATATGCTCGGTTGTTTCTTTTGACGACAATGCTAAATAGAAAATTATTCTTTATGAAAAATGCTTAAAAAATCCACTTTTAGTTTTTTTTAATTATATCGTATTTAAATAAGACAAAACTCACGCTAATGGTCTATGAGCAATTTAAATCTTTGAGCTTGTATTACTTTATGGTTTAGATTATGTTTTTATTAAATTCCTTAATATTGTTTATTATGTGACAAATGTATTTTATGTAGTTTCTTTATTTTAATACTGTTTGGAGATCATACGGGTTTGAATTACGATTGTAGTTATGAGTGTAACTTAAGGTTTGTAGATATTTAAAGCGGGTATAATTGAAATAGGGGCAATTTTTAATTAGTGACGTTATCACATGGGCATTTGTCTGTATTTTTATTTTAAAGCAATGTAGCCGTGGTTAGTGGAGTCGAATTGTGGTTAAGTCGGGAGGTACACTTTCTAAGATTTTGTTCAATGAATCTATAACATTGGACATTAGTTGTTTAGTATGTAGTCCGGTATTACCGTTTACGTATCTACTATAAATTTCTATTTTAGTTTCTAACTTGGCCATTCTTTTATGGTAAGATACCGGGAATTAGGTTATTACAGCGCTGTTATCTGTGATGTTCTTAGTTTTGCTGCTTGGTCAGCTAGTTCATTGCCAACAAATCTAATATGAGCTTTTATCCATGAGAATCTAGTGGTTCCTATTTTTTGTATGTTGTATATTGATTAGTGTACGGAAGCTATTACTGAACTGGTGGAATCTCTGTTTTCTAACTCTTTCAGTGCAGAGAGCGAATCCGAGAAGATAGCGCCGTCTTTGATATGGACTTTTTTCGATTCATTCATATGGTTTTTCAATTGCTAATGCCTTGGCCTGAAAGATAGTTTTACCTTAGTTAAAATGTTCCATATTTTCCGAACATATAAACAGAAACTTGTATTTTCACTTGTAGAACCCTGTTGCTTTTAGCTATGTACTTAATTTGGGATGCCAAAGTTTATCTCTTGAAATCCTATTAATAATTTAAATGTGATAGTTTCTTTATTTGGATGTTTGTCCGTCAATCACGCCGAAACTACTGAACGGATTTTGATGAAAATTGATATACAGATAGGGTATTAGCTGACTTAGTTATTATGATATTTTTAACCCTCTAAACATTTCCCTAGGGACCACGCAGGCGAAGAAGTCGCTGACGAAAGCTAGTTAACTAATATTTAATGTGTACACTGCTACAGGTATGCGTGTTCGGACCGTTATGGGAGGAATGCACGATACGCGTTAGTTGCGCGGCCGCTTTGGTTCGTGGCGCTGCGTTCGCTGGCGGGCGGGCGGTCCGTGCGACGATGCCTTTATATCAGCACGCGTACGCTGAACGTGCACGCAGTCTAGACGCGCTCGTGGGACATCACACGCAGTCGGCCACCTTCGAGTACTTCGTGCAGCGTATCAGGGAACCGGTGCCGCCTAATATCAGCGTACCTATCACGGCGACATCGACTGGTAAGTCTCTATATTAATATATAAAAATGACGAAAGATTTTATTGATTTATTGCATTGAATAGACTCCGTTACTCTTGAGCGGATATTAAAAACACATAATTGATGAGTCATCAATTATGTGTTTAATATCCGTTATTATATAAGTTTGGCAACGTCGTGCGTGCAGTAGTTTAAATTGTGTAAAAGTAAATAACTGTTTATTTAAAATCACGGGATTTTTTCTGCTCTTTAAAATAAATCTCGGGATTTGAGGCATATCCACTTTATTCTTTCGCTGTATGAAATCAGTGTAAGTACATGAATAACTCTACCTAATTCCGACCACTGTTGATGACTTACGCTATAATAGGTGCGACCCTTGGTCGTGCAAGCTGACCAGATAGCCACAGATAGGGTGTAGGTTCGAATAATGCAATTTTTTAGAAAAATTATACATTTATTTCCAATTATTTTTTATGGCCGCCTTACACTTCGATTGAGATAAGGTAGGAAAGAACACTGGCCTGAACTCCTCGTCTTCTCCGGTATTCTTGAGATCACGGTCCTCCAATTCTCGTTCATAAAAAATAACTCATTAGCGCTTATACGTAATAGTCAGGTGTACTGGTCCAGTAGTTTCGTTTTCCCTTTTAATGATTTTTATATTTAGCTGCAGCTAATTTCACAAAACTGGTGACATCCTCGGATGGTTTATATAAGGTACGTAGTTCCTGGAAGTTCAGAGAGACGGGTAATATTAGTAGATGAAACGCAGATTTGAAAAAACCGTTGACCTTGTGAGTCCAAAGACACAGCGTTCCAATAAACAGGAAATATGGATCAGTACTAGTGTTAGATGACTTTTAAAATGAAACTGAAACACCTTACAATGAAACACTGAATGATAAATACTTAAAACTCACCCTAGTGGGAAATATCGTAAAAATTTGTTTAGTAATTTGGAGCGATTGACGCAGCCGTCACGTCCAACGTCTAAAATTAGTATGTCGGCGAGCGGTCGCCGGCGCTCCTCCACCGAAACAATGATATAGCAAAAAACTCAACATTCAAGTGATGTGCATCAACATTAGAGACGTAACCTTCCTCGCTTGCATTTAATGTTTATAACCAACTCAATTTATTTACTTCATTTTTCTTAATAATTGAAATTTTGTTTAGATAAGTGTCTGTCTCATTATTCACTGTATTGTAAATAACGCTTTTAATTTCTTATATTTTGATGTTTATTTTAATTTTTATTCTTATTATTTATTCTTAAAATACAACGTTACAGTACCCCGCCGCAAAGAGAAGGATTTTGCGTAAGAACTTATTAGCAAAATCCATCTAATGCTAGCAACTATTACTTACTATTTTCTCATTCACTCATTCTTCGATACTTCACACTTTCTCTAAATCAGAAACATGCTGTCATCAGTCTGTATAATTCAGAATATGAGACCCTATCATGACTGAGAACAATTGATAGACTAATATTTTAATTGTGCTCAAATAGCAAGCCTACTGTGTTAACCCTACTATTTCAATAAATACGCTAGGAATAAAATAATTAATGTTTAAGACTCAATTGTGCAAGCACTTATTATTGCTTGGTAAGTAGCATTAAACTTTATAGTTAATGAGTTTAATATCTTTGATATGATAAGAACCTAGTGGTTTTCCAGACATATCGGCCAACTCATAGACAATGGGAGATTTCTTACTGATAACTTTACATTTTATAAATTTCGGTGCTAGTTTTTTATTAAAATATTTATCTTTATCACTTTGATAAAATGTCCTTCTCCACACTACATCACCAACATTAAACTCAGCAGGTTTCCTTCGCAGATTATATTGATGACAATTCCTACTGTGAGCCTGAAGCAACAATGCTTGAACCTTGCCAAATATGCTAGACAGTATGCCCAAGTTTTCAGCATAAGAATCGCGAGGATAGAAAATAAGATTGTCATCGGTCTCACTGTCGACATAATGAGAGCCACAAGTGACCAATTCTCGGCCGTATACCAGAAAGGAAGGAGTATAACCCGTCACCTCATTTACGGAGTTATTTACAGCGAATTGAATTTTCGGCACAAGCAAATCCCATACTCGCTGATCATTAGTGATGAATGTTGATAAAGCAGTCATAATAGTCTTGTTATACCTTTCAACCGTATTGACATGAGGAGAATATCTAGGAGTAAAATGTAATTTAGGCACTTTGTATTTCTCGAACATTTGTTTCAGCGTTGCACTAACAAACTGTCTGCCATTATCGAGAATCACAGTAGAAGGTATACCATGTACAAGAAGCACATCCTCTTCCAGAATCTTAGTCACTATTTCAGCGGTAGCTCGTTTTATCGGAAACAGTAAACAATACTAACTAAAGCAGCACGTCACAACAAAAATATATGAATTTTGCTTCCTCGTAGTTGGTAAGGGTCCTACCAAATCGACACTAATAGTTTGAAAAGGCCTAAAACAATGTTTGGGTCTTCCCATTTCACCCAACGTAGCGTGGTTTTGTTGTTTGTATGAGATGCAAGTATCACATGACGTTATGAATTTCACAACATCGGCATGCATACCTGGCCAATAATATCGAAGAGATAGACGTTTATAGGTCTTAAAAATTCTAAAATGACCAGCAGTTGGAACGGAATGATTTTCCGAGATTACCCTTTGCCTAGTCTCAGAGGGTAACACTTCCTTCCATTCAAACTCTTTCTGCAAAGGATTTTTAGATTGCATAAAACGAAACAATATCCCATTTTTAACCATATAATTAGGAAAGGATGTAGGAGAGTTCTGACATCCATGCCATATGTTGAGGTACCACTCATCATTAGTAGTAGGACTAACGTTAGACATGTTGTCTATGGCAGTAACACGACATGTACGGGACAATGCGTCTGGAACAACGTTGTCAACACCACGACGGTGTTTGATGTCAAAGTTAAAAGCCGATAATCTAACACCCCAACGAGCAAGGCGTCCAGTTGGATTGTTAAGGTTTAGAAACCACTTGAGAGCTGAATGGTCTGTATAGACAGTGAATTTCTTACCATTATCCAGATAGCATCTCCAGTGTTCGACAGCTACCAAGACAGCGAGGGCTTCTCTTTCAGTAATACTGTAGTTTCTTTCAGGCCCAGTCAAGGTACGACTTGTATAGGCTATTGGATGTTCAACACCATCCACCGTCTGAGTCAACAGGCCACCAACACCATAATCACTAGCATCCGTGTGGACCTCAAACGGTAGATCGAAATTAGGACACGACAGAATTGGGGCTGAAACTAGAAGTTCCTTCGGTTTAATAAAGGATTTCTCAGCCTCAGCAGACCACATGAAAGAATTAGATTTTTTACTAGTAGAAGTAAGTTTATTTAAAGGACCAGCTATTGAGCTAAATTTCGGGACAAACTTCCGGTACCAAGAAGCTACTCCAAGAAACCGTTTTACATATCTCTTTTTTATTAGTCGGTGTCGGGTAATTTAAAATTTTATCGACTTTTTCAGGATCCACATGCAATCCTCTAGAATCGACAACGTAACCTAAATACTTTAGTTCATTCCGAAAAAACAATGATTTTTCGAAATTTATGGTCAAGTTGGCTATGGACAGTTTTTTAAGTACCTTCAGAAGAAGAGGAATGTGACCTTAAAAGTCGGAATTAGCAATTACAATATCGTCTACGTAGACAAACACAGAGTTTTCGAATTCGGGTCCGCAAAACAGTGCATCAACAAGCCTCTGCTGAGTAGCAGGAGAATTTGTCAAACCAAATGGCATAGTGACAAATCTGAAGGTTCCACGCCGCGGAATATAGAAAGCAGTTTTGTTACGATCGTTTTCAGCGATAGGTATTTGCCAGAAGGCCTTAGATAAGTCAATACTACTAAGGTATCTAGCGTTCTTTAGGTTATCTAAAATCTCCGAGATGTAAGGTAACTTATAAGCATCTTTTTTCGTAACTGAATTTAGTTTACGACTATCAAGGCAGAATCGAAGCTTTCCATCCTTTTTAGGTGTAAGCAGAACCGGTGATGACCAAGGGCTCTCACACTCCTCCACTACACCCAACGCTAGCATCTCATCAAGTTGTTCAGATAGAATACGTTGCTTTTCCGGGGAGACACGGTAGTATCTTTGTCTGATTGGTAAAGAATCACCAGTATCGATTTGATGTGAAACTAAATTAGTTCTACCTAAACCTCGCTTTTCAGTTGAGATATCCTTGAACTGTTTTATAATATTGTCTGCCAATATTCTCTGATCCTCAGCAAGTTCACGATAAGACTGTAAAGCACTAGAAGAATCATTTATAGTCGATACTTCAACATTATCCCCAACATCAGGTTTGAAGGAAATAGCATTATGAAATTTTGGGAAAAGATTAAAAGTTGTCCAAAAATCAATGCCCAAAATCAAGTTAGTTTTTACTGAAGGGACGATATATGTTTTTAATATGTGAAACTGATTTTGAAAATCAATTGGTAGATAAATGTAACCAATGGCAGGTAGTTGTTCACCTCCAGCAGCAACAAATATTTTATTATCATCTTTATACAATATAAAATTCAAGTTAAGTGTATATGAGAGTTATTTCCAAGAATACTAACCGTAGATCCAGAATCTAGCAATCCAGACAACGTAATGTCTCCTATTCGAATAGTTGCAAATGGCCGTACGTCATCAGTAGGTTTTTTATTGAAGACTGTTGTAATAAAATAACTAGAGAAGAAGGTTTTTAAAGTAGAAAGCCAATCTTTCCAATCATTAGAATCAAAATTTTTAGAATTTTTTGTTGTAGCCTTGACGACTTCGGCTTTACAACAGTCCTCAGCAATTAGTTTTTTTGATTAGGTTTAAAATGACATTTAGGACAATCAGGGTATTTGACATTCTTTGTCCCACACTTAAAACAAATGAGATATCTAGTGACAGTACATTCATTCAAAGAATGTTCCGAATTACGACATCGAGGACAA